AAAGTGAGGCAGTGGGGTGGTGACAGCTGGAAGTGCCCATGCATGTTAAATTATTTATTTGACAAAGAAATTAAGGATCCAAAGATGCCAAATATTATTATTATTATTCTATTTTTCTCTCCATAGTCCATACTGCTTCTTGCCAACTTGCACCAATCCCTGTTCCTCTCCCACTCCTAAATTTCTCCCATTTCTCTACCTTGTTATCACCTGCACTATATGTTTTAAGTTTATTTTAATTCATCAATAATAATTATAAAAAATAAACTAAAGATAAATATTAATTCTCAGTTTCACATATCATGAATAATCATCATGAATTTAGGGTAAAAATTGGTATATACATTATTCATAACTTTTACAAAATGTTCTATTAATTATGTTATAAAAAAAATTATTAAACAAAAATAAATTATATTCTATCTAAATAAAATGAAAAAGGCATTATGTACACAACAAAGACTATAAAAAATAGAAATAAAATGTTTGTTTAAGGAAAAAAAGTCATTATCTTCATAATAAATAATATAAAAAGAGAACAAAATACTTTATTAAAAGAATATAAAAGAGATAAATAAAATTTAAATATAATTATTTTTACAACTAAACTCCTAAATACATACAATTACCTTATCTTTTCTAAATTAAATATAATAATTTATATTAAAAAATAAAGTTTTGAAAAAATGAGGGGGCAAGTAAGTAGATCCGCCCATGCATATTTGTAGATTTTGATACAAGTGTAAAAGAATTTGGGCTAAAAATCTAATTTGGTCCCTTATAATTTTTTTTGTTTCAATTTAGTCCCTCATTAATTTTTTGTCTCAATTTGGTTCCAAACTAATTAATTGGTTTCAATTTAGTCCCAAATTAATTAATCGGTTTCAATGTGGGACTTTCCGTTCAAATTGCTTTAACAATGTTAACTTTTGGCCACGTGGACGCCACGTAGATGCATACGTGGATGAGAATTTTTTTAAAACACCTGGACCCAGAACGGCCCGTTCTAAAACTGGAACGGGCCGTTCTGGGTGCACTTTTGGTGTGTTAATTTTGCATCCGGAACGGCCCGTTCTAGGTGCAAAATTAACACACCGAAAATGCAACCCGAACGGCCCGTTCCGGTTTCAGAACGGGACGTTCCGGTTTTATTTTATTTTTTTTATATATTAAATATTATAATTTTATAAAATATATATTATTAATTATATTTTAATTATGTTATTATATCTAATAAAATAAATAATTTAATATTTTTTATATTTTATTTTATTATGTTTATTTTATTAATTTTTATCATTTTATTCTTTTAATCTTAAATAAGTTGCAAAAAATTATAAAGTGATATTTAAATATTTCTTCAAACAGAAAGAGAAAGAAAACA